GAATTGTTCCATGGTTGGGCCTGTTTGTAGTGGGGCATGTCATTCTGAGTGTTGACTATTATGTGTTTTTGTTCTAGTTGGGATGCCTGTTTTTCCTTCCTTTAAGGTTTTTTTCCTTGGTGGCCTTATTTTGTACTTGGTTAGTAAATGGAAAGTCCTCTACTTGACACACTAAATATTTGTGTCGAGCTCCAATCTCAAGGATACTCTTGAAAAGATAGAAGAAAATGATGGTTAGAGGTAAAAGAAGGAGTGTTCCCTATGTTTGCACTCTGATGTGCAAGTCAAACAGATGAGGTTAAAAGGAAAGTAATAAGAGAATTAATGATCAACTTGCCTTAAAGGTGTTTAGACCTTCATATTTATAGATGAGTGATAAGGGACCATTAAGGGACAATAAGGATGTGCTGAGTTGATATGGCACTAGGTGTGGCACAAATATCAAAATTATCCCTTGTTGTTTGCTAAAGGCTTTTAATAGGAAAAAAATCACTGTACCTTTTTGACCATTAAATGCCCCTAACACTATTAATACGAATTTTTTGAATAATTTGAAAATTTCCTCAATCAAGGTAAAGATATCATTGGAATGTCAAGTTAATGATAAATAGTAAGTAAATAAATAAATATCATTCTGTATATTGACAAATCACAAGTTAGTTATATAATTTAATATAGATATATTTAAAAATTATGTTATCTTTTTGTTTGTGTTGAGCTATTTAAGGATAAAACCTTGAAAAAGTAAGAAAAAAAAAGGAGTGGTTAACGGCAAAGGTTAGATGTGGTCTCATTGTTTGTGCTTTAACGCTTAAATCAAAAATCGATCTAAGAATACGAAGGAAAAAGGAATGAAATAAAAGCTTAAGGCATTTAGAATTTAATATGGATTAGAAATATATAAATGGTGTTATTTATACCTATGTGATGGGAAGTTTTAGGCCTAGATTGCCCAATGTCAATCCTAGGAAACTATGGCTGACCTCATAAACTCGAACTAAGCTAGTAGTTGACTATCCATTTAGGACATAATAAGTTAGCATCCTAAGGCACTAGCTTGTAGGTTGTTGAGGTGACGTAAATCCTAAAAATTCAAGTCGGCTTAACACATTATTTTGATCAAAATGACTAAAATATCACACTTGTCAGTTGATTTATATTTTTAAAAAATCTATTTTATCTTTTGAACACTACAATCCCCTAACACTTATATTTTTAATTTATTCTTAGTTATCAAATTTTATCTATTTAATTCATTTTGAAAAAAAAGACTATGCATCTAAATTCTTTCAAATTATAATCTAACTGAGTTTATTCATTGTAATCAAACGAAAATGTGACAATCTTATAAGCTTGCTTACAAAGTTGACAATTCTTCTGTTCATTTATATGATAATTTTTCTAAAAATGTAAATACTGGTAAATGAATAAAACGTTCACTTAATGGGTGCTTATAAAGATTTTTTTAGTCAACAAATGCCTACGCATAAACCTTTTGACAGCTAAACTTTCATGAATAAAATATGAAGTTGAAACCAATGAAGTTCTTTTGGTCAAAAAAAAAAAAAAAAACCAACGGCGTTCCGAAGCAAACACAAAAGTGCAATTGGGCAGACAGTTTTGACTTGACATTGATATAAGTGGCGTAAAAGTCATTTTGCATTGGTAAACTCAGGCTGCAGGCTAAGGCTACATTTCGATATAAACTTACCGCCAGTGGGGTTGTGTTTGTTTTGAAAATCCGTCCGCAACGCACCGAACATCGATGTGGATGTATAAGCCATCAAATGTACAATTGACTTTTTTTTTTTTGTTTTTTACTTTTTTATCCTTTTAATTTGGTTTATTCTCTTTCTTTTTTATTTTAATTTTTAAAAAAATTTTAAAAATAATTCTAATTTAATATAATAAAAATACTATTTAATATTATTGTTATTGTTATTTTTTATTTTTTATTTTATTAATAAATTATTATTTATAATAAAAATATTTTTTAAAATTTTTTATTATTTGTTAATTTTTATAAGTTAAATAATTTAAATTTTTATTACTTATAAATTTTAAACTAATGTCTTTCATGGTCATTTTTTTATCTTATTAAAATTTATTTTACTATCATTACTGTATTCATATCTAAACATATATTTTTATTATTAATTTTAATTTTATTATTACAGTAATTAATCTTATATCCACTATTATTTTTAATCTTATTAAAATCAATTTTATCATTTATCCAAATAAATCCTAACTTTTATAAAAGCTTACAACTATATAAAATCGACGAAAATGATAATTTTAAGAGCGATATAATAATATAATAAAACATAATAAAAATAATTTAAAATTTTAATAAAATATATAAATTTAATAAAAATTTAAATTATATTTTATATTTAGTATATTAAAACTAATTATAATATAATAATTTTTATATTTTATATATTTTTATCATAAAATAAAATACAAATTATCAAATCTGCTAATACTATATATCACAACTTCTATTTACTATTTATATTTCTATCTTCTATTTACTACCATATATTGATATATAAGGGCTGAGTTTTGCACTGTGGATCCAATCACTTCTTTTTATATCTTATTTATTTAGCAATGGAACTTTACAGTTCATCAGTTTTAATTTTTATTAAATAATTTTTAATAGAAAAACTTCCCGTAATAGTTAATTCTTATCTTTTTTATTATTTTTACCTAAAATCATGTTAGGATCAGAGTATGCATTAAAAATGATTAATTATCAAATTTAATCAGTTTTGAAATATTTTGTATTAAAAAGTAATTTCAATTAAAATATTTTTTATCTTTTATTATTTTAATCAGTATCAACAATAATCAATGATCAACTATTAACCTTTTCCATCATTAAAGGTGAGAGAAAGAAAGAGCGAGAAAACGTGACGATGAGGTCATTCCAATAAAATCTCATCTTTGCTGTCTGTTTCCACTGCCAAGTGCAACTTTCTTTCTTTCCCGTTTTTCAAAGCAACTCACTTTCCATTTTATGTGCATATTATATCCTTTTTATTGTATTTTCTTTTTATTTCTCTTCATATTGCCCCTTTAATATTCTCTTAACGTAACAACAAACTTCTCATATAATATATTTTTTACTTTTTAATTTAGTGATTAAAAAACTTTAAAAAAAATATGTGAATATAAATTCTAATTCCGTCATATCCTTTTTTTTTTTTTTTATACAGACATTTACTCTCTTTTAAATTAAAAAAAAAAATCTATCATATAACATGAACATCACTTCTAAGCTTCATAGTTTTGTCCTACAATATGTACTTGACATTATTGGATAAAAACTCTATCACGGGAGCCAATGAATGATGACAATGCTTATTTTAATATCATATTAAATTTTAAATATATATTTAAATTAGAATTAATTAAAAAAATTAGTAAAGCGATCTTCTATTATATTTATGCATTTAAGATGTCAACAATTTAATTGGTGCAAAATTTTTACTTTATCACCACTTTAATAAATGATGATGTAGCTTTAAGATAGATGATTTAACAGCAAATGTCATCGAATGTCAAGTGATAGAACTATTGGATATTATGTGGTTTATGTGTCATTAACCAACTTGAAGTAAATATCTTTTAAATTTATTTAAAAAATAATTATGATTTAATAACTATCTTATGTAAAAACTCTATTGATCATTAAAGGTTGACATTCATGGAATGTGTAAATAAAAACTATTAAGAAAGTTATTTTGTTAATAACTCACATTCATGGAATGTGTAATAAAAACTATTTTGTTTATATATAAATGAATGCTAATAAAAAATGCTCTCCATCTATAAAATGGTACTTTATCTTCATTAAGAAAGTATATGAAGAAAAAGAAAAGTTAAAATAAAGAAATAAAAAAAATTCATAAAATATATATATTTAAATTATAATAAATCAAGATATGACTTTTTTATTAATCAAGAAATTGTAAAATTATCTTATTCTATATTTTTGAGTATTATACAAAGTTAAAATTCAATTTGTCTAATACAAAAATCTCATAAAAATATGTCAACATCATATTATAATAGATCTATCGCCATCAATAATAAAAAAAATTTTAAAAAAAATCTCAAAAATAAAATTTTAAAAAAATCTAAAAAAGGTTCCAAAAAAATGAACTCTTTTAAAAAATAAACAAAACTTAAAAAATTCATAATTTGAAATTATAAAGACGTATGAAAATTAAAAATAAAAAGGAATAATAAAAAATTAAAAAAAAAAGAAGGGTAAAGGGGGCATACCGGGGCGAGGAAAGGAAATGGAAGGAGAAAAAGTGGGAAAGAGCTGGGAACGAGTGGGAAAGGATTGGAGACGAAAAATCAATCTACTGTCAATCGGTTGAGCCAAGGTTAGTTGACATTGATTTGTCTTGGATCAAGTAATTGATGTTGATCTAGCTTGTTTTAGCTAGATTTGCATTGATCTGCCTCGTTCAAGACAGTAAGATAATGGACCTACCTTCGACTTGGTCAACCGATTAACACTTCCCTTCACTGCCTTCTCTCTCCTTTTCTCTCGTCTCTTCATCTTACATTTTCTATTTTGACTTTGCCTTTATTATTATTTATTTTTTAAAATTCAAAAATAAAAAAATATATGATATTTTTTACCATGCATCATATTATAAGATATTTGTATTAAAATTTTATTAAATATTTATGCCATATCATTTATTTAATCAACATTACAAAAAAGAATAAAGTACTTGATGGAAGCAAATTTGAATATTTATTTTTTTAGATATTAATATAACAAAAGTGATATAATTCAAGACATAAATGAGCATTTAACTTTCATGTAAATGACGTACATATCTTTATTCTTTGAACATAATTGGAATTTCATTTTTTCAAATAAAATAATAATTAAAATTTTAGCTAAAATCTATAAATATCGGATCCTAAATTTAAGTACTGTAATAACAACGGCAATTAAATAATAATATTTTAACTAAAATCACCAAACGCAAGAGTTGTCCCTGTTACTTTAGTATTTTTTATTTTTATATTATATAATGTACAGCGACAGACCAATTGATACATGCACGATCGAAAAGTCAAAATCAGAGGAGTTTTTTTTTTTTTACTTGCGCTTCAAATAAGCCTTGTTAGGTTTTTTTTGTTCTTTCGGGTCTATAGTTCGTTTCCCCTTTCTTTTCTTGCTTAATTCTTCAACCAACACACTCCTTTTTTTTTTTTTTGTTTTTCAGCTGAATTGGTTGCTTCTTCTTAGTTCAAGTTGTATCTAATTCTTGGTGCTTGGGATTTCAGCTTAGAACAAAAAGCAAGGTCAGTTTTGTTCAGTTTTTTCTTTCTTTTTTTTTTTGATTGAAAGTCAATTTTTTTTTAAGTCTAGGATTATTTTTCTTTTGAGTTTTTCTGTGTTGCAAAATTGTACGGAGGAGTAGGTGAATATAGAGGAAATCCTTTTTTTTTTTTAGTTTTGAGAAGTTTGGTTATAATATAGCTTATAAATTTCTTTTTGGGTCACTTTATCTGAGTTATTGGGTATTCTTGATTTACTCAGTTGAATAAATTCAAGGAGTGGATTTGGGGTTTGTTGTTGAAAGATAAAAAAGAGGAGGTGTTGGTTGATGATGATGGTATGTGATGATTGATGGGCAGTAGAACGGTGAAAATTGGCGTAGAAAATAATAAAAAAACTGCAGCAGCGATGCCGAGCTATGTTCCTTCAGTACCCACTTCCAATCCCAGGTATTTTTTTTTTCACTTTTTCAAAATTTGGCTTTGTTTTTTTTTTTTTTTTCTCTTTTGATTTTATATTGTTTATGTGCATTTGATTTCTGTTTTGTATGATTTCATTAATGTTTATCTTTTTCTATATGAGCTTTGTACTGGCTATTCATGTATTTGGTTGTTCAGACAATCCTATATTGTCTTTAGTTATTAAACTTGTGGTCAGGTATAGTTAGTTGATTCTTGATTGTAGGTGTTTAATGAAGCAGTTTGAATTGAAAATTGTGATGGTCGGAGGAGAATTCATGGCTTTTTATGTTTGTTATAAGGATAGGATAACATTAGTATTCCTAGGGGGGTGAGTCAGGGAATTAATATATTATTTTGTCATCTTTTTTGTTGTCAATTTGTCATACACATATCTGGCGAGAGAATGGTAGTATATTGACTGAAAGGTTCATGTTATGTGGTAAAGAGCCATTATTTTTTTCTTCTGTAGGTGTTAAGGTTGTATGATTATATTTGATAATTGCCTATCTCTGGGTGCACTCCAAGTTTGCACTTTTAAGCACCCATATTAATTTGAAAGTATTTGGAATCTTTTTTATATGCCAGTTGACTTCTGTTCTACAATGCTTTTTGGTTTTTCAACCTTCTGTTTCCTTGGTGTTCTACTTATGGCAAGTTTCAATATCAGTAATATTTTGAGAATGTGAGAATTTGTCTCTTACTTTGAGTTAGAGTTTGATCAAAACAGGCAAACTGATCTCGATAAGAGATTGATCACAAAACTGGGATGCTGGATATTTTAATTTGATATGATTGTTAGAATATGTGGTTGGCCTCCTTATAACTTTGATAAATAGAGGCTGTGTACGAATGTAGATGTTTTTGTGATGCCCTGTTACACACATGAAATATTCCTTGGTAGCTTTTTCTTCTTGGCTAGGAATATTGACTTAATCTTGCACCTATTGAATCATACTGCATCACTTTGGAACATGTGATTTTGATGACTTATGCATTTCAGTGGCTCAGAGGCAAATGCCAATCGATCTTCTCGAATGTCAGACTTTGGAACCCTTGAGCAATCTCTTGGATTTCGTATAGAGGATGCTATTGATCTTTCCAGAAGTATGTGATGATGGTCTTCAATTTTCTATTAATGGACATATGCAAGCATTTAATATTTCATTTCATGGAAAAGGAATTTCATTATGCATTTTTACTACTTTCCCACTAAATTTACATGTAGAACATGTTGTGTATCATGTTTTATTTCTTTATATTGTAGCATGAATGCATTGACTCTTGCAACTCACCATCTATAATGACAATGTGGGTTGCTTACGGATTTGGTCCCCGTTCTCCACTCGTTATTGCTTGAGGCTGTAGGCTGTAATTAGTGCTGGACCATGTTCTCTCCACTTCTTATTGATTTAGCTGAAATAAATCATTTTTGTTTCTTTTAATTTTTCACTGAAGGATGTAGTCTATAAATATGATTGTCAAAAAACATAAAATTGAGGGTGAGGTGAGGAAGGTGATTCATAAACCAAATTTATTTCAAGATTTATCCCGTGCCAGTGTGGCCTTGCCTATCTATTTTTTTTTTCCTTGTTGAACTTGCCATCATATTGCTTTGTCAGTTTTATCGTTATGAAATTGAAATTATTTGATTATTTAGAATTTTTTTCTTCTTTTCATTGGGGGCCTTATTTGATATGCATTTTCAATTGATAATGTTTTTGTCTTTAGACCCTCTATTTAATCAAATAAAGTCAAGTACACAGGCAATAGCTGATGCCCAGTTTGGTTCTTTAAATAAGGTGAGCGTTTATCTCCTTTAGAAAGTTGTCTTTGTGCTTCAAAGTTTTAACATAAATTTAGTTACTGAGTGTTCTCTCCACATGTGTGCATGTATGTGAAAGACAATTGCATCTGCCGACAGCAATCTCTCTGATGGTATTGTGGGGTCACAGACATTATCGCTTCAAAAAGATAACCCACCAAATCTTGCACCTATATCAGCTGGTCGGGAGAATTGGGGGGATTCCAATATGGTGGATGGCAGCCCTAGGACTGATACATCAACAGATGACACTGATGAGAAGAATCAAAGGGTGATGCCTCTTGCTTCAATTTCATGTATACGTGTTTAAGATCATAGTGTTTAAAACCTTTGCTTTTTTTGGATTTTAGTTTTCATTTCACCTTATTGTTCTAGAATTTACTTTTTCTTTCATCATTAGAAATAAGCAGGAAAAATAAATTTACTTGTGTAGTGTGCATGTTTGCACACAATACACTTGTATAATATATATATATATATATATATATATATATATTGTATTGGAGAATTTGCCTGCTGGTTAATAGTGATTGTGAGTTGAACAACCTTTTGTGCAGTTTGGAAAAGGTCAAACGAATGCTATTGTGGCCTCTGATTCTAGTGACAGATCAAAAGATAAAACAGATCAGAAGGTGAGATTTTTTTTTTTTAAATTAGGATAACAAGAATATTAGATTGTTAAAGGAGTTTATCCGTGTAATATAATATTGATGAACTTATCATATTTCCTTCTCAATGACTACTTTGCAGACATTGCGTAGGCTTGCTCAAAATCGTGAGGCTGCAAGAAAAAGCCGGTTAAGGAAAAAAGTATTTCATTAATGACTTAGTTTAATCTTTTAACTTTATCATGTTTCTATCATCAAGCTTTTATAATATTCTTTGTGGCAATTATCTATCAAGGTACATTTTCTGTTTCTTATTATAAGTTAAGTTTAGGGGTCACTTATAAAATCCATTGTAAAGTGGTGTAGAAATTACACCATGTCCCTCTCTTACTCATATTGATTGTCCCTCTTAGACAAATAAAAATTGGAAAAACATATAAAGTTTTTCATTGGAAATATGAGGAAACTTTGTTGCTGTCGTTCTTCATTTTCCTTGAATTATCCTTGACTGGTACATATCAGACGGACATGGATATGGAGGTCTGTCCCCCCCAATACAAAAAGAAACTTAAAGAAAAAAACTTAACATACAAATGTTGGTCACATACATTTGAAAAAGTAACTTAGGATGAAAGTGCAAAATTACGACACTTTATTTATTATAATAATTAAAGCCCATTCTGTAGAATTTATTAGTGCATTCCTTTCTTCATAACCTTTTTTCTGCTTTCAAAATCTAGGCATATGTGCAGCAGCTAGAGACTAGCCGACTGAAACTGACTCAACTTGAGCAAGAGCTGCAGCGAGCTCGTCAGCAGGTCTGCTTTATATTAATCTCATCAATATTGTGATGTATCATTTGCATTTTTCGATTTCCTGGCTGATAATGCTGTCTATTATGCCTCACATATTTTTGTTTTTGCTTCTTTCATTGTAGGGCATATTCATTTCAAGCTCCGGAGATCAATCTCATTCAATGAGTGGAAATGGTATTTAAGCCTTATTAGCCTTTCCTATTGTTTAATTTCACGGTTGGAATTTGAAAATTGATTTTGTAATTTGATACTAGGGGCTTGGAATTCAAGTAATTATGTTTTGAGTTTGTTGAAACATGTTTCATTACAGTAGCTATTAGCCTTTAACTTGTGGATAATATGTGTTAGCTATGTCAAGTTTTGTTCCTAAAACATGGAACAGAAGTTACTGCTTTTGCTTGTGTCTGGCAGCAAATACCAAGTTAGGGTATTTTAATTCGAGGGACAGAGAGCTAGTCAGTTTTTAAAATACTGTTAAGTCTGCATAGATGCTATTATCTGGCACATAGAAGCCCTGCTTTATGTGCATTTATGAGCTTCAAAACCTTTTCTAGCTTGGTTATCCGTTGTAGAAGTAGTTTATTTATTTCTTGTTTTGGTCTTCATAGTATATAAGGTCTAATATTACTGAATAGAGTTTTTTTTTCTTTTGTTATTGGATTTTGATCAATTATCAAATTGTTGCCATTGCTTGGCCTCGGCTGCACATGAATTAATTGTTAGTTCTTTTTTTTTTTTAATTTAATTTTGCTTCTATATTTGTGAACTTTATTGCCCTCACATTTCCTGCTGTTGCAATGTGCTAGTGAATTTATGTTTTTGGGGTTATTCATTTCTCTTCCTTTTTTTTTTCTTTGAAGCAGAAAACTAAAATTAAAAAGAAGCGCTTTTAGTCTCTTAGTTTTTGGTATCCACCAATATGTCTATCATGCTAAGATATTGTTTGGACTGTTGTACAGGTGCCCTGGCATTTGATGTTGAATATGCACGGTGGCTCGAGGAGCAAAATAGGCTGATAAATGAGTTGAGGGCTGCAGTCAATTCTCATGCTGGTGACACTGAACTTCGCACCATTGTTGACAACGTCACAGCACATTTTGATGACATTTTCCGATTGAAAGGCACTGCTGCAAAAGCTGATGTTTTCCATATCTTATCAGGAATGTGGAAAACACCAGCAGAGCGGTGTTTTCTGTGGATAGGTGGCTTCCGTTCATCTGAGCTTCTTAAGGTGAGCTCCAGTCTTCTTCTACAGAGGGACTGCTGTCATGGTGCATATTAGGTTTCAATATTTGAATGCCTCAGAAGGGGCCCATCAGAATTTACACACCTTAACTTTGTTGGAGTTAGATGTGTTACTAATATGCTGGTTCTTGAATCTGAATATTAACTAAGGAACATATTCAGGGCTTTGATACCTTTTCTATTTGCTATTTTTGTTTTGCTTCCTCACAGCTAATTATAAAGTAAAGGGTGATCCCTTTTTCATGCAAAGCAACAATAAAAGCCCTAAAGCAAAACATGCATAATAAGCTCACCCTAAAACAAAAGGAATTTGTAAAAGTTAAATGTTTCATATTTGATTTAAAAGTGAACAAATGTTTAAAATGAAAAATCATTTCAAACATAGTTGTCTCAAGTAAAGGATTGCATTTTACTGTCCATGTAAGTTAAATATTTAATTTTCAATATTTCAGAAGTATTGTTTTTGCATACAAAACGCATTTTTGTGTCTTGATTCTAGAATTAGAAAACTAGTGGCAATGGTAACAACCACTTGATCCTTTAATCTACTAGTAGTTTCTTTAGGTGCATGGTTCCAACTCAAAAAGGAAGAGTTAGGGTAAGCTCTTTTTTTTGCACAATCCAGTTCAGTGGGTAAGCTGACAAAATATGTGGTCATCTGAGAATATTTCTTGAAGACTGTGGACCCAATGTCGTTTATATAAATACACTGAATTGACTATTGTGTGGTGTCAACCAAGTTTTTGTAGATGCTGGGTCGTTTCTCTTTACATCTTTATCTGAATCACTAAGATTTGATACCCATTAACAATGTGATGTTTCTATTGAATGCCTTTTAATAGAGCTTGTTCTGCTCTTTGTCCTGTTTGATTTTGTTGACTTTGAACTTAGTTTTATGTGTGTTTGAACACTATATCCTCATTTAAGAACAAAATAAAAAATTTCTGGAGTTTGTTCTCAGGCGCACTGTATTATGGGTTCATTGTCTGCTATTTTGCAGCATAACCATCACTATTGGGTTTTATCCATAGTTACTAGACCTGTAGCGATTGACCTGGCCCTTGATGCAACTGGACTGTTCATCCTTTTGACATGGAAAAACTTGAATTGACCTGCCAGTTTATGATACATCCAGATAGGGTAACCCTTCGGTTTTTATTGACCTGACTCGCTGGGATATGGACTTGTCAAAATGACATTTAAATCAAAACTAAGCTAACTTTTCATACTAATTATAGATTGTTTTGCCATTTCACCAAAAAAAAATGTTTTTTTTAATGAGTTGAAAATTAAAAGAAAAAACCAATTTTTGAAAGCATAGCTTTTTGTTATTTTTTCTAATGATACAAAAATTTCTATTTTTCTCATAGGTTGTTATTTATAAAATTATTCAAAATGTTTTATTATATTTTCGTAATCTATAATTTTATTCAAAATGTTTATAATATTTAAAAATAAATTTTTATTAACCAATACTTGACTTGAATGATACAACCTTTGACCCAATGATTTGATGCCTTGATCTCATTGATTCTGCTAATGATGGTTTTCTTTATGTTGCTGTTTTATATTATAGTATGTGATTAACTAAACTGGCTTTTACTTATTTTGTTGATTTGGAAGCTATGCTATATGCATTGTTTACTTTACCCTAATATGTTTGTGTTTGGCTCTTTTAAATTCATATTGTATGATGCTTATATCCTCCAAATTAATGTAAAAAAAAGCCAAAAAACATGGCTTATCTGTTGTTAGATGCATACACCTCCATGCAATGTCCTGAGTCCATGTGACAGTCTCAAAGCTCTTGCATTTCAACCATTAATGTTAAACAGGGGTTATTTTCCCTTTCTTTTATTCTAAGGTGCATCCTGATGCATTTCAACCATTAATGTTAAACATGCATTATTTTCCCTTTCTTTTATTCTAAGTTACATCCTGGTGCATTCATCTTTTCTTCCCATGTTAGTTTATCGATAATTTTTTTAACTTAATTGATGTTGATGCAGCTTCTTGTTAATCAATTGGAACCTCTAACTGAGCAACAGTTTATGGGTATCCACAACTTGCAGCTATCATCACAACAGGCCGAAGATGCGTTATCACAGGGGATGGAAGCATTGCAACAATCTTTGGCTGAGACGTTGGCCAATGGCTCACCTGGTCACTCAGGATCATCTGGGAATGTAGCAAACTATATGGGTCAAATGGCTATGGCCATGGGAAAGTTAGGAACCCTTGAGGGGTTCCTTCGACAGGTACTTACATTTTGGGTGCAATATGGCTTTGTTTCCAATTTGTTTCTCTACATGTTATGTGATTTTATTGTTGGGGGGGAGAGAGAGGAAGGGTGTTCTCCTGCCTGACCTATTTGAGCCTTTTGTTTGTCGTCTTTTCGAATGGTAGGGTAACAGTTTTTCTGTGTGGATATCTCGTCATAACATAATTAAGGTGTTTGTTTATATTATATGTAATTTTAATATGAAAGTTTCAGTGTACTCAAAATAAAAAGGATGTTAATTTCAATAATACTAGCATTTAATCTTCTTTTCCATATGGAAGATGACTCTTCTCTTTATTGAAGAAGGAAATCCTGATGCTTCCACATTTTACAGCATCTAAAAATTGGCTAATGCAATATTTGAGAGCAGAACAATGTCATATCTTTTTCTTTTAAGTGCGTAAAGGCAATTTTCTTTTGTAAAATCATATATTGGGATTTAGTTTATGTGATTTTTCCGGGGTGATTACCAGGCTAATAATCTTTTTTTTTTTGGTTTTCTATATACCAGGCTGATAATCTGCGTCAGCAGACACTGCAACAAATGCACCGTATCTTGACAACTAGGCAATCAGCTCGGGCCCTTCTTGCAATAAATGACCATTTTTCTAGGCTTCGAGCTCTCAGTTCTCTCTGGCTGGCCCGGCCACGGGAGTGAGAAGTAGATATTTCCTTCTGCATGAAGTTAATCTGAAAATGTATTGTCCGTAGATAAAATTTTAGTAGTGTTTTCCTGGAGCATTGCTTTGATTGATGTTGGGTAGACTGCTGTACTTCGACTTCAACATCCTGAATTTCAGGATGCCGTTGTGTTGCAGCTAGGCCACTTTGTTGTTGTCTAAAGATTTTCTTTCCACAGTTGTAACATCGCAAATGTTGTCAAAGTTGTTGTATGCGTAGTACTTTGGTTGTGAAACAGTAGTGCAATAATCTGATTACTTTGATGCTAGAATTAAGAAAGGAAGATAGGGAATGGTATATGTGACATAGGGTAATGTTGTCAATTTGTATACGACAATCACATTAAAAGCTTGGCATGTATATATGTGATGCTTTCATTTGTAACGTAATTGATCCTATTTTCCTATGTATTTCATTTCATCAATTGTGTGGGAGTGAGGCTTCATCTACGCTAGGATTTTTGATCTGCTGCAGAAACTATTAAATAGTTTTGGGATGGTTATGTCAATTTAAAGTGGTCGTAAATTGAATTTAGATTATTGAAATTAAAAGTGTGTTTGATGAGGGATTTTAAGCTGGGATCATTTGTATTTTAAAATTATAAAATAAAAATGAGAATTGTTAAAATTTTTGAAATTTAAGAAGAGTTTTAGAAGATTTAATCTTTTTAAATTTCATCTCAAAATATGAAATTTGTGAAAATTTTTTATTTTTAATAAGATATTAATATTATTATTATTATTTTTTCATGAAACTTTTATATTTTTTAAAATTCTAATCACAAAACTTTAAAATTTATTTTTATTTTGTAATGTTATTAGTAATATCTATACATCTTTATAATGACATTCATTTTATTTTTTCAATATTTTTCTAAGCTCGATCAAAGGAGAATAAATTTTAAGAATCTAATTTTATGTGAATTAATTAATCAATTAATTAATTCCTCAAACAATGAAATGAGGCAGAAAATGGCCAATCTACTGATCAGCAACATCCATAACCGATCAACAGGCTCACATCAACTTAACAATGTTTGGTCTTGGATCGATTAGGACAAAGTTTGAAGCTTAGGCTTAAGTTTGGGGTTAAAATGACTCTAAAAAAGGGCCATTAATCAATTAATATGTTCGTTGATCGATTAAAAGAGTTTAATTCAAATCGAGAATGAACCTGGGTGAATATTACAACTTAAGAAGACCTAACTGATAAGAAGTATCTTCCACTGATTGATTGACACGTGTTGATAAAAGTTATAGACGATAAATCTTTTTTATTATCTCTTGGATAAATCCAAGGATTATTATCCCTCAAATTTATCAAATGACGGATGAGCTCCGACCATCCCCTTCCTACCTCTAATCCTCCACTATAAATAGGCCTCTCGTAGTCTTAGTCCTCATTTTCATCAAGCATTTTCTTTTCCAGTAATTTACCTTTAAGTCTCTTTCCCAAAAATCTTCCCAAAACTTTGAGAAAATTTTCTCTCCTCCCATTTTAACCTTCAAAAATAGCTTCTTCAACTGTCCTAAGCCATTTAAATGGCCTAGAGCCTCAACCTAAACCTTCGCTTTATTCCAAGCCCTGTCCAATATTCTATCAAAATCCTACAGAATCAAATAACAGCTTCCAATTGATTGGCACTGCTCTAGAGTGATTGGCCGCACTTGCTAGAGCACTGAATCATTTCATTTTCGCTTTCCTTTCCTAAACCAAACCTTTAAACCTTGTTTCTATAGCTCCAACTACGCCTATAGTCCAACCACCAGACCAGGATTCTTCAATCACCTTGAATTCCTTAAAAACCAAGGCCATCTCGCTCATCAATAGCCAAAACGACCCTTGACACTTAGAGATCATCCATTCCTTCTCAAACACTGCAAGTCACCATCTACCATTGAGACACCACCATACACTTTTCCATATGCAAAAGCTTTTTTGCTAATAACTCAAACATCCAAAAACTTCCTTGATATTCGTTACTAAGCTTACAAAAACCCAAAATCTTGCTTGCCTCGAAATTAAAACATTCAAAAAGCTCAAATTCTCAAATTATCATTGATCAACAATTTCATCCATCGATCGGTCAAAGATCTTAAATTATTGATCATCATGGATCGATGTTGGTGTATTCCCTAAAACCAATCAAATTGGCTATATAATACATGTCATATTAAGTATTACTATTATTAATTAAAGCATTCTTTATCTATAAGACTGTATACACAATTAATATTACTTTCTTATATAGATAAAGTACTTAGAATAAATATGCTTTGCAAGAAAATTATAATGAGATTGTAATTATAAGATCATCATTACATCAAAGCATTATTCTTAAATTATTCCCAGTCAATTCTTTATCAAGATGGAAGATTGATAAAGCTATTAAGATTGACATATGGTTATATTCTTACTTATAAAGCAAGTAATTAATCTCATAGGTTGAAGTTTGATAAACTTGAGCTAACATGTAGGTGCTTGTTACAAAAATAAGTTCATTAGACATTACTTGAGATAAGAATGATATTTGGTAGTTCATATAGTATCTATAACAACATTCTCATGTGATGATTGATTAAGTGATCCTTTGACTTGATATTACTATTGATCTTATATGATGTATTTTAATTTTGCCTTACTCATGGTTCTAACCATAGAAACACTAGTAAGGCATTGTTGGATATAACATGAGGTATATGAAGTTGCTCAAGTAATTATTATAGGATTTATTACTTTGTGTGATTGAGAGAATATCTCACTTAGTCTTAGTGAATTAATTTAAGAAGTCTTTGGCTAAAGTGGAATAAGATTTTAGAATAGTTATAAAGTTTATCCAAGAGTTAATGTCAAAACCAAAACTTAATAGCTAATATGCTTGAACAAAATTGACTAAACACTAATCTATACTTAATGTTAAATTAAGTTATTAAGTGATGAAAGGATATTCTCTATAAATTGGGGGGTCATCGCAACATGACAAGAATTGACCTTGATCTATAAATATAAAATTGATTAATTGGAGAATTAATATTGAAATAAAATAACAGTTAATTCATCAAATTTGAATCAAGGATTATAATGATTATATTTATTGCCATCATGTTGAGAAAACTAATGGGTCACACATAATAGAAAAATGTGTGAAAGATTAAAATTAAGACAAATTAAGTTGGACTTAATTTGTTTGGTTAAAGCCCAAAACCGATGAACAAAGCCTAATGCCTTTACATTAAAGATGTGGTCATCATGATAATTCTACTGTTCATTCTTTTTGTTCACGTGGATTACTATAAGAAGTCAGACCAATGTTATTAATTTCATTTTGTTACCAGTCATATCGATCGGTATGCTTCAATTATATCAAAATACAAAAACACATAAGGGTTATTTTTTGTACCTAACTTGATACTGGGTAATATAGGTTATTTTCATTGATTTTGGTGAATTTCGATAGATTAGCTTGTTTCAGCTAGTATATAAATGTGAAACATGTTTTATAATTTTTAACTTGTCTTTTGTTATTTAACTATTTTTAACCTGATATAAATAAAACTAATTAACAAATAACTTTTAAAAGTTGAATTTCTTTATTTTTACTACAACTTATTTTCTTTGATACTTTATTTTTTCAAACTAAAGTTCATAAGTTTTTCAATATCTTTTAAGAAAGCAATTGTGTTTCTTCTCTAAAATTTAACAATCATGAAATTAAGGGGTTTTTTTATTTTATTTTATTGTTTTTATCTTAATATTTACAAGAAAAGAACACTCGTTTAAATATCATACCATCAAATTAAGTGTTTAAAAATATCATAATAAATTAGTGAAATTATTTCTTATACTTTTAAACTTATTTATTCAATTTTTGAAGATATTGCATATTTATTTTGTAGATTATTAGTAGTATAAATGTACAAGTTCATGTATATTTATAAATATATTTGTACTAAATCAAAAAATTTGAAATAATAAGACAAAACAATTGGTACTGCCATGTACCATTTTTTTTAAAAGAAAATTGAAATGTTATTCGATACGATATTAACAACCTTGGGTTGGATACTTGGATAGCTATTGGTTTGCCACAACCGAGCTTGATTTTTTTTGAAGTGTTCTTGACAACATCACAAGTAAAGTAAGTAAAATCTATCCTTATTGATTGCATATGTATGTTTACGTATGATCTTGTTAATGTGATCCAACGCTTAAGGGATTGAAAAATTTTAAATTCTATTGCATTATACTATGATATTTAATGTTCAATTCCAAAAAGTGATATCAGAGCCTTGTTAATTAAGATTACACAAACTAACACTTATTTCAATGTTTTTAATATTAAAAACTATTTTTATTACTATAGACACCAAATTTGTTTGGGTTATTCAAGTTTGTACTTGATTTTAAATTCATTTGAGTTTTTTTTGGGTTCGTGGGCTGATGCTCGATTTCAATTCATTTGGATCGAGGCTTAATTTCGTTTTCTTGAGCTTGGGCCCATTATTTTATTTTTATTTTTACTTTTACTTTAATTTTTAATTTTTAGGTTTATAATTAAATAATAAATACAATGACATTAATAAATAATAAATTAATTAAAAAACATAAAAAAATAGGGCAATGGAACAAGTGGTAGGGGTGTCGTGCACAGCACCATTACCACCCACTCTCCTGCAACTAGGATCGACAATCCAACCCATCCTCGACAGATTCCGACCCGTCCTATGAGGTCAGTTTTTTTTTTTTTTTTTGAAATTTGAGTTTCGGGTCGGGTAAGGTTAAGAAATAATGGGGGTCGGGTCGGATTCGGGTTTTAGGCAAACTCGACCTGACCCGACCCGATATTATATAAAAAATTATTTAGAAAAAACCTAAATAGGACACATGATGGGACATTTATTATTCTTGTAAATTTATGTTATTCCTTATATATATTTTTACGTATTAACCTTTTATATTTTGTTATTCCTTATATATATTATATTATGTTAACTAACCTTTTTTCTCTACTTTGTTATGCATACATACATCATTAAGATTTATCATAAGGAGTGATTATCATAAAACAATTTTAACAAAAAAAATCTTAATTACATCAACAGCAAGCTTATGAAAGTTTTCTATGTGCTTGAGAATGAAGTCTAAATAAGGTCAGCTAAAAGGAGGTGATTGTTTGCCAGCTAATTATGTAATTACTTTAACCACCAAAATCCATCTCAATCTTAAAAGAAATGGTCTGAACAATTAGGTTAATATTTGAAACCAATGGGGTGTCACTATCAAGGAGACCTTTCAAAAAAAGTTTGGGGACCTTGTATTATTTCTTTCAGTCCTTATTAATGATCAGCTTATTAGGACAATGGTTTAGTTTTGAGACCCTTTATATCACTGCTTTGTGTTCAATAAGGTTGATATAGTGTCAACTATTGAAGAATATTCAACTTTCTTTCGCTTGGATCTCCTTAATCTT